TTTAAGATGTTCAAATGAAAATGTAATACATGCCACCTCTCATACTACAAATACCTATTATTTCTAGTAAATGATAAACACTGAACCACATTCTGCAAGCTTTACTTAGAACAAACACTGTTATACTTTCTCTAATGCTACTGAGATCTGATGTCTTATCCTACTTAGATGCTTTCAAGAACTGATTCTTTAATCTCATTCTCCATTTTATTTATAAAATTGCAAAGGAGATATAACATTTACAACAAAAAATATATGGTGGAATCAGCAAAATAAACCTGCATAAATCTGCTTTTGAGCGTGCTTTAATGATTACCCCCCACCCCTCCAGTTTTGCTTCCAATGATTCCCCAGATTTTCAGCTGTACTGAACTGCTGCAGTTGTACTACATATCGACAGGATCTGGACTGCTCAAAAGTGAAATGAAGTTCAGCAAATCTGTTATTTCCACAGGGAATTATTATTCAATGATGTATTCTTTCATGTTTTCCAAAGAATATCCACTTAGAGATTTTTAGGGTTTTGTCACAAGTTTTCCTTTCAGGACCCTCAGTGGCTTAACAAATAAGGTGGGGATGGCAGATATACCAAATAAACAGGGGTCTTTCCCCTCCAGAACTCAGAGCTGTGCATTAAGCATCCAGGTAAAAAATACATCACTTTGTTGTGCTTCTGTTTGACAAGTGGAAATAATTATCTAGAACTTCATTTTAAAAGTTGCACTCTTAACATCACTGACATTGTTCTTCTGGTTAGAGCCAGCAGCATCTTGTAATTTTAGCAAAAGCAATGGAAATAATAAAATCTCTATTGATTAATCACATTGGCTGAATTATATATTGTTTCCTGAAATTTATGTTGTTCTCCAGACCTTTCTTAAATGATAAAATTACTCTTCTTTTTTTTTTTTCCCTTAATGGTAGCAGGAAGACATTTTTTGAAAGAAGTGTAGAAAATCAGTCCATTGAGTTCCTTCTTGTTAAAATATATTAGCAAGGTCAGGTGATATTGTTCAAAAATCTAGTAAGCAAAGAAAAATTGGAATTATTGCAAGGAACTTTAGTAGAGAAGTTACATAAGTCTATACCTGTTTTCCAGGTATTTTGAAATAAGGGGAGTTCTCAGCAATACGTGCTGTTTTCAATATGGACATAAGTAGTAAGTAGTCTCAGGAATTCTATGCTGTAATTTTTTTCAATTATTACTTTCAAATATGAAGAAAGTTCAAATTTAGCAACTGGAAGCATTGATGTTAAAGTAGAAAAGTTTGAAAAGTCACGATAATTTGATGCTGACATTCTTGTATTAAATACTGAGGTTCAACAGAGATTTTTCTGTGTGAAAGTTAATTTTATCCTCAAAATTAAGATAAAGTAAATTGTTCATGTAAGTAGAGAAAATTCCATTTACATTGTGTAGCACTAGTAAAACATGAAAGGACCTTTTTTTGCAACATTGTTTTGCATTTTTTACTGAGCTGTGGTTTTTAAAGTTTTGAAATTGAAAGTAAGGGCTGCTAGAGCTTGTTGGGTCCAGTGGAGTTCAGGAGCTGGGAAGTGCTCCTGTCTGACCCAGTGAAGCAGAATTTGATGGAATTTAAAACCCAGAGAGGGGATCCTCCTGTCCCACTCCTAATGAAGTCCAAGGTGCAACCTGTCATGAAGTTGAACATGTATTCCCAATAGGAAAATGGGCATATACCATACCCAGAGACCAATCACATAGATCCATGGACAGAATAGCTCTCTTGCAGCACCTACATAACAATAAGCAGCACTCACATAAACATGATCAACACTGATCATTTAATTCCTTCTTTCTGGAGGATTGGGATTGATGGAATATACACCTCCTGACTGTACTGGCCCACTTTCACTCATAGGTCTGGCATGTGAAATTTTAGTCAATACAATATCCATACCCAGGCTCTGCCCCCTTTACAAAGTGACTAGCTTAAACCTTGAGTCATTCCAAATGTAGATCTCATACTTGCCAATCAGTTCTCTTTGAATGTTGTTTATGGTTACACGCACAGTCCCCCACACACCCTGTGGGTTTCCTCAGGGACTGGTCTGAGACAGTTCAGCTACTGACACCCAGCCCTCAGTTGCCTCACCTATGTGATCTCTTTCCAGTGCCTAGCACCCATCCCATGCCCCTTGCCGTCTAGTCCAGCATGAAGTTAGCCTGAAGTCTGCTACCATTCACACACATGCAGACTGAGAATAAGGACTACACTTACACAATAGATGGTTAGAGATAGAATTTAATAACAATATACAATAGATTCATTTAGAAAAATGTTCACCTGCATCCATTTCCTTTCATTCCTTCTTGCCACCATCTACCTATATTTATACAGCTCTCCATATTTATGCCTTCCTTTCCTCTCCTGTGTCCCATTGCCTAAATGCCATGTATGTTTTGCACATACACAAAACCCTTAAGATATACCATAATGTTTTACACAATTCCAAGTTTCTTTCTTCCCTTTAGCAAAATAAACTGTCCTATGCCAGCCTACTACCCTTTTAGGTAGGAATTGCCCTTTTCCAGGGCATCCTGGAAAGGAAGATTTTTCACTGAAGCTTCTTGATAGGTTTCCCTATGAAATCATAACTGCAGCAACCACTTTCATCTTAGAAGCAGAAAATTCAGTGACTTCTGTTACTCATCAACTGTCATTACCCTTTTGATCATCACTGGTCTTTGTATTTGATTTGATTAACCTCTCATCGGATAACATAAACCCTGTAATACTCATAATAAATCATATCTTGTTTAGATCAGATAGTTTATTTCCATCATTAGCTTATTTTCTTGGAATTTCTAGTCCTAAAGACTTTCCTTGAACAGTATAGTTCCCCGTAATGTAATTCAGAAAGAACACAATGCACAGCTATACATATACATATACATATACATATACATATACATATACATATACATATACATATACATATACATATACATATACATATGAAACTTCTTAGCTATTTTATATTCTTGGTACTTTCTCAGTGTACTTGTCAAGTTTTTTGTGTCTAATGCAACTTAAACTTATGCAGCTGCTTTTGAATTTCCAAGAAAATCACAGAACAATATAGGTTAAATTGTAGTAAAGCTCCAGGTGAACTATAATAAAGGTAAAGAGTAATTAGGGCATGATTTTATGACTGTTTTATTTGGCCATAAGTCTATGCTCCCTGACTCACTGGGTTTTAGGCAGACTAGACAGACAACTGAATGATTCATTTTCACACAGATCCATTCCCTGTATCCATCAGAACACTTCTCTGTAACAACGGCAGCAATCAATACTTTGTGCTTTTTACTATACTGAAGTGAGAGGGATGGCAACAGTTTTGTAAAATCTACATGTGGATTCAGATTATTTTGAAATTTGCTGTGTACTTAAGAGTGAAGAACAAGGTTGGGGAGTTCAAAAAGGCTTTTGAGATGGAATTTTCTGTTTAAAAATGCAGGTCCTTTGTGTTTATGTATTTGTGTGGGTTTTTACTATGCGGGAGGAGTAATGTGTGTATAAAACTGCCTATATTTTCCCCTTTCTTTGTCCTTCCTTAAGATTTCAGTGATTGTTTTGACTTTCCTCAAACTGAATTCAGAATCTATTCAATTCAATATGCAAAACTCCCTGTCATAAAAGGAAACAATATTTTTAAAAAGCTCTGCTTAGACAGTGGATTTGTCCAAATAATGTATAATTAGGAGCAAAATACTTACGTGAAGTATGATAAAGACCTTCATGGAAGATACATCCCATGTGTAGGGCAGTGGTGTGATTTAGCATGATGTGCCATAGCTATTAAACCTGAACAAATACACCAAAGATGTAAATTAAGTCCTATGTTTGGTAGTTTTTCATGCTTGAGTTCTCATTTTTGGGACTTCCTGAGCTTGTATCTCTGCTGATGGCTGGAGCAAGGGTGAAAACCATATGTAAAGCCATCTCAGATAATATAAGTAAATAGAGAAAACACATTGAAAAAAACAAATTTTTTTAATGGGATTGTCATGTTCCTTAAATTTTCTTTGCCTTTTTTACAGAGATCTCCATCAAAATGAATTTGACATTTGGAAAGGGCACAAGATGCTTTGGCAACCTTATCTCTTCATTGCTAAAGTTTTGGGAAAATTCATGTTTATTGAATGTGTCACAAATGGTTGATTATTCTCTGTGAGTCTCTTGTGCCTCTAGGCACTATGCATATATGAATGGAGACTTTGCAATATTTTCTTAGAAGCAGATAAAATGAGTCAGAGTTTTTTATTGTTAATTTTTGCCACTATATAAGAAAATTTTTCTATTCACTAAATACTTTTTGTGCCAAATTTTACATCCAATTTCCTATGAAATGCTTATTTGCCCTCTAGATAGTTTTAGGGAATGTTGATTTGCTTTGCTGAGTTATTTTCCATTTAAAATGAATAATCAAACAAGACTCAAAAAAAAAAAAAAAAAAAAAAAAAAAAAAAAAAGCCTGGAAACTCTCCTGCTTTGTGGGCTGACAGGGATAAATTTAGCCTTTATTCTGTGTCAAAGACTTTGCAGAGTCATTATTTACATTTTGAAGTTTCCAGAGGCTACTAAACATGACTCTTTCAACTCAGTCAAGGTAGGTCAGTTCGTTTTCAAGGGTTTTGCTGATGTTAAAGGTAATGACACTGCTGTCAACTCTGTATTTTGCTATTTGCTATTATTAGTAATATGTATTGAATGTTTAGTGAGGTACTTGCAAATTATAATTATTTAATGGAGTGATATTATGGGAGATATTTTAAATACTTTTTCTTTATTTTCATATTTAATCATTATTTGTAATTCTCATAAGATTATAACAGTTAAGTAATTCTGTACAATGCTGCAAGATTAATGTTGCCCTCAGTATTGAGATATCTTGATTCTACCCTTGTTTATAGTAATTAAATATACTAAAGATCTTTTTCTTGTCTTTTTTTTCAAACTGTTTGCACTTAGCGATGTAGCAAGAAAGCATCAGCTTTGTTGTTGTGGATCCTGAAATCATCTGGAATAATTGCAAACCGTCCTTGGCCAAGGATCACTCTCACATTGACAACCACTGCTATAATATTAACCATGGCTGTATTCAACATGGTAAGAGAAAATGGGGTAATTTTTTCTGATTTTTTGTCCATTTAAGATTTGCTGTTGCTGTTATTTAGTATTTTTTTAGATGTTAAATTTATGGCCCATTGCTATGCCAGGAACCTATGTGATAACAATTGCCAGAGACAGAAATGTAAAGCAGAGCAAAAGAAAACATACTGTGTAATTGAGACCTCTGCAAACAGGATGCTCAATAAGACCTCAGACCCTGGCTAAATTTGTTAAAGAAAAATATTTTTTATAATGAACAGAAAACAATTTAATCCCAGATTTGAATTGCACAAGTCCCTTAGTCATATGCATCTCTTAGAAAAACAGCATTGCTGAAAGAATGAAGTATCTCCTCATGGGATTCGTGGAAGACTTTGTGTGAAACAAGCTAAGCTTTATTCAGGTCTGTGATGCTCTTCTGCTGACTCCAAAATGATCATAATGTATACATTATTGATTTTACATGCTTATCTTTTTTCAAAATAAGAAAAAAATTCAAACTTATGTCAAAATTTCAAAATAACTGACCTACAAATTCGTTAGGGCTTACATCTACTTAAGTCATTTCAACCCATTCTTTACTCTCCTAACAGAGAAAATCCATATAATTTTACTATTCTTTTGCAACTATAGCAATTATAGAGTAAATCTGTCATTAGTTTGCCTAAAGCATGAATCTCATTTAGTCTGAAGGGTCTGTTGTCTAATGGGATGAACAGTACATGGGATCAAAAGTCTTGTTTTGTTTTGTCCTGTTGGCTAAGGCAGGTTCTGTTCATAAACCTGTGAAAGTATTCCAGTTCAGTTCTGTAGCTGCAAAGTGGGAACTCTAACATTTATTCAGGCAATGTTTTCATCATAATATCAATGCATACATATTATTCACGTTTCAAATGAGTGAGAGTCACATTTCAGTGCTTTTGAAATTGCAACTCTAATGCTTCCTTGAAGTGCTGGTATTTTGCTACTTAGGATTCATAAAGGACTTAGAGATTGATAATACCTACACTGTTTTATTTTGTTTTCCTGCATTTCAGGGGGCCTTAGTCAATAATTTGTTACACTAAGTACTAAACTTGTCCAAATAACATAATATAGGCTTTTAAATGTGAACACTTGAAATTTCTGGTAGTGTTCTCTCCAATTTTATTGTTAAATTTTTCTAGTCTTGTTAATGTTGGTTTTCTGGTTTTTGTTTTTCTACTTTTTTTGAAGGAGAGAAGAGAAACACAAAATCAATTCCATTTCCAAAATCTAAAATTCACCTAAGTGAATTTAGTGTGTAAGGCTGGGAGAGGAGAAACTCAAAAAAGCAGTGGTTGAAAATGAGAATATAAACTGACTTTTCATCAGTGAAAGCAGTTAGCAATTGAAGCAATTTTTCTGAAAAGTTGATTCTCCATTAGCTGAAGATTCTATGCCTTTTTGAGCTATGACCTTTAGCCATGCGAGTTATACAACAGCATAAACCTCAGAGATTTAGTAACTTGTAAAATTAAGATCAGGCTAGATTTTCTCTTACTTTGAACTCTGTAAATATATCAGAAGAAAAGAAAGAACCTACTTGGGTTTAAAGTATACATTGAGTTAGACTTCATGTATATGGTTATTAAGTTAAAAAATTTAAAAGGAGATATGGTCAGAAACTGGTTTTTACTTAAACTAAAGTTCTATTACTGTGTACAGCCCACTTCAAATTTGGCCTTCAAGTAGTAAAAGGCATTCTATCAAAATATAAAGAGTTTTTCAGTACATAATTTTTAGGAAAAGGCTTTAATTTTATTGGCTCATGTCCAATTTTATGTGGACTGAATGTTATAGTAAAACCTAATAGGCTGTATTTTAAAGTCTTAGTACCTTATCAGCAATTTTACAGTGTTACAAATAATCATGTTTGATGATATTCATGAGATGATAATTTTAAGTACAATTCCCACCTTGAAACCAAACATTAATAGTTTGACTAGCAAAAATGACTTTAAATGTGATTGTGAAATTTGCATTAGCAAATTGTGGGAGAGACTCTGAAGTATCGTTATTGTATCTCCAAGCAACATGTATTTAATAGTAGAGTCCGCTAACTGCATTTACTTCCATGAACCATTTCAGTAGAAAAAGGCAAAATGTAGCCATTAAGATTTAATGGAGATAAAAAGTATCTAACCATACCACACCTAATAAATCATCATTAAGACCAAAATGTCAAATAAAACTCAGTCTTCATGGTCAAGGGGTGCAATTTTATTTTAAATTAGCTGTTTCAACAGATGGCTAAATCTCTTGTTCAGGTTTGAGACATATGTAGTCCTGATCAGCAAAGGGAAGTTAAAAATCAGCTAATGTCACTTAAGTATCAAATAGTTCTGAGCTGAAAGGAGAGGGTAAGCATTAGATATAGAGCTATATAGACTGTAGGACATCTATGAGAGCCTGAGGAAAGCTGTTTTTTGTCAGGCTGACCTGCTTTAAACTGATCAAGAAAGTATCCTGCATGGAGCAATCCAGGTGGCCCAGAGTGACTGTAGGAGTGCATGACTGCAAAGGGTCAATACTTGGAAGCTGAATGAATGACTGTATGCAATACATCAAATTATTGTGCCTCACCATCTTCTGGGATTAATGTGATCTCAAAGAATACAGCATGATAAAAGAGTCCTGCAACAGCTCTTGATTTCAGTGACTTCTTCTTCAAACACATGGCACAGGAAAATCTCAGGGTTGTACTGTCGTACTCTTGACTACTCTAACTACCAGCTTTAGGATTCAGGATCTTAGAATCATAGAATAGTTTGGGTTAAAAAGAATCTTAACAGGTCACTCAGTTCAACTCCTCACTGCCATAGTCAGGAACATCTTCAACTAAATCAGGTTTCACAGAGCCTTGACTAACCTGACTTCGAGTGTTTCCAAGAATGGGGTACCCACAACCTCCCTGAGAAATCTGTTCCAGTGCCTCACCACTCTCATGATAAAAAAAATGTTTCCTTATATCTAATCTGAATTCACTCTGTTTTAGTTTAAAACCATAACCCCTTGTCCTACCATGAGAAACCCTGCTACAAAGTTTGTCCCCATCTTACTTATAGGCCCTCCAGGTACTGGAAGGTGCTCTAAGGTCTCCCTGGAGCCTTCTCTTCTCCAGGCAGAACAACCCCAGCTCTCTCAGTTTGTCTTCACTGGAGAGGTAGTCCTGCCCTCTGATAATCTCTGTGGCCATTTTGTAGATATTACTTACTTTCCTGTCTTTTCATCCAGTGAATTTTGGCAACTGGGCTGTTTCCTCCTAAAGAACACATGTTTAGGAATGTGAATACTGAAAGAAGTTTGATTATTTTTGCTCCATTGGTTAATGTACATCTGTGAGCACAAGCAGCCTTAAATGATGCAATCATTAGCCTCCTCTAAGTCATTAATTATATCCTATGTTCAAATAATGACAAATAATCAAACCTGCTTTCATTCTCATAGTGGAAAGTTGGTTTCTTTAATATACATTCCTTTTAGTGCAGCTGACTGTTGCTGACCTTGTATTTTTAATTGTCAAGCTCTTTGGCAGATACACTCTATACATCCCCACAGTGCCTGGTATATTGAAGATCCTTTGTTTCGGATGGTGCCTAATGCATGTCTTTCAAGAAGAATAGACACTGCCTAGAGGTTGACATGGCCTCAAGGTTGGAAAGAGAAAGCACAGCTGAAGTAATTTCATTTAAGTGGTACTCACAAGTCCCAGTCACAAATCTATTCTAGATTATAGACAAGATTTAAGGAACTTGAAAAAAATCAGTATCAATCTAGATACACTAGACTTGCAGCGATGCGCTAGCAGGTGAGACACTGCTCTGAAATAATGTTTACAGCAGTTCTGGTTTCTTTCAAGGGTGTGGGAAGAGATAGAGTCATGTTGTCACTGCCTTTATAAGTGAGCATCTCTCCATATCTGTCAAATACAAAAATCATGCTGTCTGAGTCTGTAAAGGGCCAGCAGGCTTCTCACCTCCCCTGTTGGTGGGAGCTTTGAGCAAGACAGTGACTTGCCACTACATATTGCATCTACAGGGGGCTAGGAATTGAATACATGGTGGCATAAAGGTAGTTATGCGCTTTCGCTTGGCACACAAATGTCATAAAAAAGAAATTATTGAGCAATTTTAATTTGGTCCATTTGACTGTTAACAAGAGATATGCCACAAGACACCAAATAACAGATGCATGAACACTGTGATGTTAAGAGGCCTTGTACAAACCCTGAGGCAAAATGCTCTAAAAATTCTGCTAAATGCATTTCAGTACTCTCTGGATTTTCATTGTTCTTTTACAACTTGCCAATATCTCAGTATCACCTTTATATGGTAAAAGTGTATAATTGGTAGGAACTTATCATTTCAGGCTGTCCTTAAATCTCTCCTTTTAAGCCTGGGAAGAGAGGGAATGATACCAGAATCTGGGATTCTTTACACTATTCTTGGGGCATTCTTGTGAGGATCTGGGAATAAAAGTCCTGACTCAACTGCCAGACCAACTGGCATTTTTCAAAGGAAGCTGTGATATGCATTCTACATCCAAGTACTTTCATACCTCAGTGAGAAAGATGGCTTCTTTTCTAGTGAAATCTAAACTAGTGTATTATGTTGCTGTTTTCAGACGAGAGATGCACTAATTTTCTTATCCCATGTTTTGAGGGGAGGGTCTATCACCACATGGCTCCCATTGAAAGCAGGTATTTTCATTATGTGAGGCAGAAAACTCACAACTGAGGATTGCAGATCATGTGAACACAAGAAAAGAAAAAAAATGTTAGAATATATGAAGTTAAAATAAGAACGTAATGGTAGCATGCTTAGATGTTCCCTGGCAAACATTGGTATTCATAAAAAATACTGCTTTCATTTGAGTCATTTGAGTAGGTGTGACTGCTTAGTAGGACTGAACCTACTCTTACAAAAAATACTATGTTGAAGAATAATACGTATCTTCAAAGCATGACAGCAGATATGGATAACTGATGAGAGACAAGAAAGACAAGTGCAAACACATCATTCAGAAATAAGTAGTGTCACCTGCTCATGGCAGGTGACAACACTTTCATATCTTTTTTTTCCCCTTTTTATATTTATTAATATATGCATAGGTATACCATATTTCATATAGTGTTCTGTGTATACATGTAACATTTATAGGTCAGAAATGCTTTGTGAAAAGTTAAAAACCCAAATTAAAATGCTTAAATATAAATTAACATATATAAATATGTCAGCCATATGTGTTTATATAATATAATTGTGTTTGAGTTCTTCATGTTATATAATCTTTGTTCTGGGGACATACATAAGGTGGGATTCTGAAACTGAATATTTCATGTTTATAGAAAAAGTATATGCACTCTTAGTGTGATGTGAGTTCCCCTAGCATATGCCCTTGTTAACAAAATCTATTCAATAGCTGGAGGCAGGGAAGGGGAATAAATCCTCAAAGCTGTCTGAAGGGCTTTTGCCCAAAATTGTTTCTGTTAAACAAGGCAGATGAGCATCAGCTGGCTTAAAAAGTAACCAAATTACTTAAAAAAATCCTTAAGTAAAGAAGGAAATAGTGTGAAAAGAAGTATAAAAGGATCAGAATCACAGAATGGATCAGGTTGGATAGGACTACAGCGGGTCATCTGGCCCAGCCTCCCTCCTCAAGCAGGGTCATCCTAGAGCACATGGCACAGGATTGTGTCCAGATGGTTCTTAAATATTTCCAGTGCGGGAGACTCCACAACCTCTCTGGGGAATGTTGAAATGTGTAACAGGAGACAGAGAGCTATGAATGGAAACAGATGATTGTCAAAATACTACTCTGACGCTGTCATAAGTTACTTCTCTGGCATCACACCAGGCCAGCAAGAGCAGCCTGCCTGTTGGATACTGTGACCTGCCTACCATGCAAATGGGCAGAGAACAGCACGGGCTGGGACAAGCAGGGACCATTGCTCAGGTTTGTCCCTGCACATGAACTCACAGGGACCTCTCTCCAGCATGTGCATTGACAGCTTGCAGGGAGCTGCACAGGTGCACATAAAACTAGAGTACCTCCATCTACTTTCAGCAGCACGTGCCAGTAGGGGAACCTGCATTCCCAGAAGAGGGAGTGTGTGCATTTCACCCACACATCTTGTGTGGGAAGAGGCAGATGTGCATGTAACTCTCTGCATGTGTACAGCATTAGAGCTCTTTGGGACCAGTTACAGAAGGATTTTTCAAAATCTGTAGGTGTTTATTAACATGTTGTAGGGTCTGTTTTCATGGTTTATCTGTTATATTTCTGATACTGATCTTGATTCCAACTTTGTAGTTCACTGATGGCAGGTTAATTATATGTAGTTTCACATACACAGTTACGTTAGCAAATATGTTACATGCACAGTACATATTTCACATGCACAGTTATGTCAGCAAATCAAGAGAACACAAAAGTGCAACTGCATAAACACAGGCGAGTGCCAGCTTGGTTTTGGTAGTAGGTGGTGTATTGATAACCTTTGCAAAACCACAACCTTGTAGCTCTGTTGAAGGGGAGTTTGAGAGAGAATGTCTTTGGACTCCTCTCCACAGAGCTATAAAACATATCAAAGGGCACTCAACACGGGCAGTGACATGGGAGGTTGGATAGTCTTTAGAAAGATAAAAGAAGTCACAGCGCATGTACATTGCTGACTGCTGCCAAGGGGGATTGTGGGTCTCTGTCCTTGCATGTTTCCAAGACCTGGCTTTACAGAACTATGACTGACCAGATCTAATGTTAGTAAATCAATAAATCGTTTTGACCCAAATTTAGTTGCTCCAAGTGAAGTGGTTTCCTGTGTGATTACTGGCTGAATTTGACCAAGAACTGGCTGAATGACCAAAGAGATAACTGGATTCCCTTTTTTGTTTCAATTACATTAGTCCTGGTATTGATGTCAGCATTATTATGTTATTGCATTTGTGTAAATCAACTTCAGTGAAGCTTCTTTTTCTTTCTCTAATTCTTCCTGTGTTTAAATAGGACATTAAGTTGAGGTAAACACAGGAATAATTCATATTGAATTTATTTCATCATTGTCTCTTGGATGTGTGAGCTTCTGATATATGAAAGTAATATAAAAAAGAGACTTTTGTCTTTTATTCAAATTGAAAGTGTCAGATGAACGTTAGCAAAGTTGTTTTTATTTGAGAATACAGGAACAAGTAATCATGGTGTGTCATATTCCTTTTCCTATTTCAAATTAAAATACAAAAAATAGTGAAATGCCAAAGTTAAATGTTTACATGCAGGGCTTTCTCTGCTTCTCCATTTCTATTCTCTATTTTGACCTTAAACAGCTGTCATGCTAATGGATTATATGTTGATTTTTTTTTTCTAGTTTTTCCTAGATAATGCTGTGATAGCTTTTCCTTCAGTTCTTAATTCATCAAATGCAAGTTTTCCTGATTCAAGTAATCAGACACAGTGGTGTATACAAAATAACTGTTTTTTCCTACCGGTAAGTTCATTTCACATTTCTTTATTTGTTTACAACAATTACACTAAATTGAGTGTTACCAGATCTGCTTGAAGTTAAACACCCACCCATTTCTGAGACTGCAGTAAAAGCTTGATTTTTTTTCTTTTTTTCCAGCTGCAACTGCATTTGAAATAAGTGGGAAGTTAAATGAGATTAGTACTTCTGAAAATAGAGGTTTTAATAAATGTCAGATTTAAAAAGCAGGAAACAGCATAATAACAAGGAAGTTTAAGTCACCCATGCTAACACATTACAAAATATCAAGACAACACGCAGCATCTGCAAAGCAGACTGTGCACTGAAAGACAGGTTAGTCTGCAAGCAGGTTTCCCATGGTGGGGAATCTTTCCAGGTGACTGACCTGAAAATATTCACAATTTTCAAGTGTGAAATTGTCATTGCACATTTGGTAAGAAATGGTGTGAGAGGATGGAAATAAAACTTTAATGTACCACTATATAAACTGCTTAAGAGATCTGAACTGATCTGAAGAAGATGTCGTAACATGAACCAAAAGCACAATGGCACATACAGGAAGAGGGGGAAGGACATAGCTGCAAAAAAGTGGGAGCTGTGTCCTAGAGAGCAGTCATTCTTAAAAGGATTACAAAATACCTGCAGCTGAAAAAAACAAGCCATATATTGTGTCAAAATAGGTCAGCTGGGTTTGGGTGAATAAGCTGGGAGCAGCAAGAGGAAAAGGGAGTTTATTTCATCTCTATGGTGAAATAATGAGGCTATTACCAAAATGGTGTGTCCTGATTTCAGGATTTATAGCTCTTAAAGTATTAAAACAAATTCTTTCATCTAGAAATTTTTTCTTTGATATATTGGCATAAAAATTATATAAAAATTTCACTTCTGACATTGTTATTGTTAAAAATTTGTTATTTTGAATCTGTGTGTTAGTTTTAAGCTTTATTTATGTCAATAAACTTTATGTGACTTATGATAGTAAACCTGACATCTATTGACTACATCATCTGAGTCCATAAGAGCTTCAGAAATTACTTTAGCCCCAAGTGAATTAAGTTCATTTTGAAGCAAAGCAATTGATTTGCCTCTTTCTCTACCTCCCAAAATGACATTTTGGATTAGTATAGCTTACTTTTTAAAAAGACTTAGCAAAGGCTCCTCAATAAATTATAGTAACATTTTTGTGTTTAGTTTTGTTTAGTTTTGCTATGATGCTTCTGTAGTTTCCATGTAATAGAAGTTAAGGTGTATATCTGCTCCTGGGACAAAATACCATCTGATATCAGTGCAGCCACCTCCACATGTTAAATAAATAAAAGTTATAATACTGACACCTAAAAGATGCAATTTTGGAATGTTTTTTATTTGACTAGGAATTTTTTTTACAAAATTTGCAAAATTACTTTGTCCTCAAGTTTTTTTCTATAGAAAAGTATGGGAGTAGTATTCCTTCTTACTTCATTAAAGGTCTTCATATCCACAGAACTGTAGGTCTTAAATTTTAAGAGAAGAGACCAAATGCATTGGGCTGGATCTTGGTGCTGCAAGGCACCAGACCTGTGATCCCAGTAAGAAAGACACTCAGACTCTGTAAGGTATTGGTTAAAATACATTTATTAGCTAGCAAAAGAAAGAAAAAGAGAATAGATGAAGTTACTCCCCTTCAGATACTGAGAATCTTGATTTGTACAGCATGAGGTGCAGATTCTGTGTAAAGATTACCCAGCATTTTCTTCTTTTCAGCTGTTAGAGGATTTTTTTTTTAAAGGAAGCATTTCTGTTCACTGCTTCAGCTGTCAGACAAAAGGGACATCCATGAGAGCTTGCTGTTGCACTGCTGGATAAAGGCAAGGCTGCAGAAGTGGCATCACACTGGGTACCAAGTGGGAGCTGTCTGCAGGCTCCTGGGTGGTGAAAAGTTGGCTAAGCTTAGTTGGCTGAGGTTATCCTGTGGCTGAGGAATGCACTAAGCAGGGGCCTGCACCTGCTCAGCTTCACTGCTCTGTGTATTGCCAGACACTCCAGTTCTGCTTGTTTCTTACTGACACACTGCATTGCAATGCAAGGTCTGCATTCTTAAATGTGTGGCTGTGCCACTCTTGTCTAATTCATCCACCCTTGTTTGAAATTTTCAATCTACTCTCTGTATTCTTATGGAACACTGTCAGAGACTGTTCCACTTGAAAATTTCTGGGTCTTTGTCAAACAGTATCCAGTTATGTATTCAAGACTGCCTCTGCTTGTTTATTTTTGGAAAACTGATTTCAACAGTAGAATGCCTTATTGACTCGAAAAAAGATGCTGCTATTTTTATGTAACACTTGAATTTGGAGTGTGACCTCCTCTGAAATGCAGCTATCAGAGAAGTTTTATTTTTGGTGATTCTGAACAATAGTTCTATCTATTTCTTATTTCAAACAGATCTTCAAACAAATTACAGTAGCAACAAAGATTGAGATAAATAAATTTTGCCTGATGTGTGCTGTGAAAATTATTCATCTTAGTGAACTCCCAAAATTAGTATACAGTGATTTAGGCTCTGTCAAAAGTGCTGCCATCAACAAGTCAACAGTAGTCTGAAAACAGCATGACTAGAAATAGAATGCTTTGTAGTTTCAGGAAAAAAAACTTCCTTGCAGGGTGCCAGACTGTAATTTTCAGGAAGAATTTCTGGCAAAGGGGTTGTGCATTAAAGACTAAGATAATGATTCTAGAGATGATTCCTGTTGTATCATTAATTTTTATGCTGTAATCAATTTCCAGAAAGTATCAGGAAAAAACATTTTTCCAGGAAAAAACTTCAAGTGTACATATTTTTGTTGATATATATGACGTAGGAAAGAAAAGCCTTTTTTTTTTTTAGCAACTGAATATGTTCTTATATGGTTATTGCTCTACAGGATTTGTGAAAAGGATTTTTTATATTTATATTATGCATAGGCTCTGTTAATAGCTTTCTATTTTTCCTATCCTAGCTGTATTTCTAGAGTTTGTAAAATTGCATATGTATGAGATTTATAAAAACTGCAAATATAGGCAATGAAATTATTGTTTTCAGGCCTTAAGACATTTTACCTTGACTCAAATGCTAGCAAGACATACAGGATAATCCTGGAACTCAAGGATGAATGAAAATTTTACAGTGTAACAGGAATAAATCTTATGTCAATCTATTGGCAGCAGATTCCTACATTAGATTTCAACACCAGCAGAGGTATCCCACAATTGGAGATGAGTAAATCAAATGTGTCAAAGGGAGAAAATTAGGGACCATAAATTTGTTTTTATTGGCTGTCTATAAACCATAGTGTCCCAGACTGTGATAGGTTGCACACTTCAGTGGTCAGACAATAGTTTGTTTTTTAAAGTAGCCTGACCATTTTACTGTGCATGATTTCCTACTCAAGAGCCAAATTCTAAATATTTTTCCATTTGATTTCTCTTTGCCAGTATTTTATATACAGCTGCATATTAGGGCTCATTTCCTGTTCTGTTTTCCTGAGGATAAATTATGAGTTGAAAATGGTAATAATGTTGATTGCATTGGTGGGCTACAATGTTATCCTTCTGCACAGCCATGGGCCCATGCTGGATGACTACAGCAAATTTATGTATGCGATGGCACCTCTTAGAAGGTAGGTGGCTAACTCCAGTCTTTCTGAAGTTAAACACTACCCATGGTAGTTCTTAAGTCATGGAACATATGTGTTTGGCTATGTAATCTGAGTCACAGTGTAAAATCATTTTCCTCCTGCAGTTAATTTGATTTGTGATTAGAATAAATTAGAATTAAGTAAGTCTGGACAAGGCATTTAAATCACATACTACAGGAAATAGAGTATGGTTTAATTTGCATTTTTGTCATAGAGGATGTTACAAAGACGTCATCATCAAGTTTGTTAAGGCCTCAGGCTGCATGTGATGAAGGTTTTTAGAGCATATTTGCTAAAAATGGAAGAAAATCGGCTTCCCCAGAACTAGTACATAGCCTGAAATGTTTGCAAATTAAGTCTTAGCAATTGAAAAAATTAGTAGACCAACAGTTTAGATATTTTTTTATTTTATTTTGCTGTGCCTATGTATCTTTAGTTTTTAGTGAGACTGCTGAAATCTTTGTTTTAGGTGATAATACGTAAGACCAAAATTATGACTCCATATCCTGTTATTCTTGTGTAAAATAATTTTTGGACAGCTGTAATTTCTACCTCATTTTCAAAACAAAGAGGTGGTTCTCTTCTGTGTATGCCAAGTGTATGGCATATGCCACATCAGAAAACCTGGATATTGAGAGTGTAGTTTCAATATAAATTTTTTCTGTGCTGTAACAATCATGGAAAAGGATGTCAAATGAAAAATAATCTAAAAAGGAAAAAAAAAAGTGTAGGTTTTCTTTGCACTTATATCTAAAGACTACATTAACAAACCCTGGTCTTTGTTTCCATTTTATTAATGGAAAGGGTACGGTGTGGAGAACCCGGGGACAGGTTGGATTGAGCCTGTGATTTTGGCAGCTTTGATTTTGTGGGTCTAAGCTCTGTTGGTATTTTCCTTCCTAAATTTCCCAGCAACGTTCTTGTTTCAGTGGCACGAGTAGGAATGTTCTAGTGTGAACTGTTCCCATTACCTTTAGTGACTTCTGTGAAAACAGAGTTTTTAATAAACTGTACAAGATCTAGTTTGTGCCTCCTGAAATTCTCAGGTGAAGAGGTATCTTGGGAGTTAGGTGCTTTAGTATCTGTTTCTTCATATTCATTGGATATGGTCGAGCTCTCTATGATGGAAATAGTGTTATTGCATTAAAAATCTATTTTTATTCTACTTGTATAGAATAAGCTACAAGTGCTCTCCATTTGCAAGTAAAAAAAGATATTATTTTTCCTAAATTGTCATCTTATTATTGGATTTCAAAACATAGGCACATTTGAGGAGAATGTAGTAGAATTATTTAAAGTTACATAATATAAATAATGATATTTCATCAAATAATATAGCATATCATATTTAAATGTTTTTAGTTTATATACCAGAAAGTAGTACTTATAAATTATGGTTTTACTTTTGTGCTTGAAGTAATAATGGCTTAACTATCAAGCAGCCTGCTTTACCTATGTTTTTATTTTATAGGCCAGGAATACTGAAGGACCTGAAGACAATGGGCTCAATTTCCTTATTCATATTCTTCATCACATTACTGGTTTTGGGTAGACAGGTAAGATGCACACTTCTCTTCACCTGCACCAGTGGACACAATTCCCACTGCTACATGCAGTCTGTCACCTTCTCAAAGAAGCACCTTTGTCCTGTTCTTTCCCATACCCTTGCAAAGGAGTGTCAGGAGCATCTATGTTCTTTCTTGCCTTCCAGTACACCCTTAAAACTTACCAGTAACTATCACTGACATTATTCTGATAGTGTACTGTGTGACTATTGCTTGTCATTCTGACCGATACTGACTTGTTGCTTCCTGGTTTGCTCCCATCTGTCTGCATCCATCTGCTGTCTCCCTGATTGCTTAATTGCAAGCTATTTTCTTCACAGTTATTACAATTTGGTGCAGACACAGAAACAATATAGCATTCACACAGAAGTGTACCACATGCTGAGGCCACAGTTGCACTAAAGCTGTGACCCAACAGGAAACTACTCTTTTTATTACCCAGTTGTGCTTTTCCAGAACAAATGTGATGTCAATGGTCTTACTCCTTACTAAGCTGAGGGAAGATGCAAGGGCCATTTTTTCTCTAAATCCTCAGGCCTGTACAGGATTCATGGCTAAAAGCTGCAGTTCTAGACCAATGTGCCAGAACAATGCTGTGCACAAGACAGGGTTCATGAAATGGAAGAGGCAATCCATGTGAGATCTCATGAACAGCCTGAGCCTTCACAGACTGCAGCCACGGGAAGGATTTTATTCCAGACTGTCCTTAAATCATTCCTTTACATTACAATTCCTCAAAAGGTAATGACTGACATTTAAATTGCCATGCAGGCCCTGCAGGTTACTACACAAAAAAATTCTTATCTGGCAGTTTCTGCAGTATTTATTGTAGTGGGGAACATCCTTCTTGATTTAGAAATAACATTCTTCATCTGCCTTGTCACCAGCAGCACATTAGAGTTTGTTCATTTGATGGTGGTGACAGAATGGGTCTAGAGAACATCTACTTTCCTTCAGAAAGAGGGGTAAGTTCTGTATCTCATCAGTGGAAAATCTTTAGTCCTGTCAGCTCAAGTTTCAGATGGAGGCAGATGGTACAATTCCAAGAATAAAGGGAAGAAGGAATATCATCTTCACTGGGAAAGATATCTTTGTGGGTTCAGTCAGATCAGCAAGAAAGTTTGTTTTGCACATAGCTACAGGTGTTCTCTGTCACACCAACTAAGAAATGATCACGCAATGGAAAAAGTCTTCATTTTCAGAGCTGTAGGTCCAGGATCCTTGTCATGATAACACATATTTGTATTTCTTCAGCCTTTTGCTTTCGATTTTTCTGCTAACTTATTCTCCTTTAAAGACGGAGAAAAAAACTTCTGCATTTTCAAACACTCTTAAGCAAAGTCTAAATATTATTGGAAAATGTTATGAACTAATTTTAATACATAACTGTCATAAGACCTGTCATTTTAAGCTACTGTTGGTGATATTGATTGGTAGCAAATGCTTGGAAAATAATAGGGGAGGAAATCAACCTGCATAGAGTGACCTTTCCAAGGACATATACTTTCCACCTTCTGCCAGTTGGTACTTCTGTGGCAGTGTTTAATTACTATTGGCTGTTCTGCTTTCTGTTTCACTGTCTGATCCCTTTTTAACCCATTTTATCTTCCTGGTGTTCCCAACACTGATAATGAATTTCAGAGTTTGATAAAAATTCATGTGACAGTGTCTGTCTTTCTGTTTTTAAACTTCTTCTTTTCTACTTTCATTGAGTGGCTCCTGCAGGATGCTGTTGAGCCATCCTGGCAGTGTCAACAAAGTTAAATTCTTCCTTACCCTTCTTCCACAGAGAGTAATATACAAGTAATTTCTCTGATAGTTATTGCTACTTTTTCTTTTTAAGATATCTGATTATTTTAAAAATGCTAAAGATAATAGCCACTGATGAAAAGGGTGGCCTTTCCATTTCCCTTCAGCTGCCATGGGTGCTCTTCTGTCCCCAGGATGAGTAACCAAAAAGTTCATCCAAACAAAAAGTGGATGCTTTCCTGCAAGCCTAGCTTGTGAACATGCTCACCACTGGTCACAGAGATGCCTGTCCTGAATCAAAAGCAGAGGCAAGGGATAAGTGCCTGTGGTTCAGTGGGGATGAAGAGAGGGAGAGTCAGTATATCACTACATGGTTTATGAGCCTACTTAATTCTTTTAGCTGCACAGCTAAACTGGAAGAAGTAGACCTTCCCTCAGCTGCTTATTCTTATCCTTTTGTCTCCTCACTTTTACTGGAACAGCTCACCATGAAGGTGTATAGTGTATCAAAATAGGGAAATGTTCAGGATTAAAAATTAGCCCTGCAGAAATGGTTGGTTTTGAGCCAGATCTATTTTCAAGATTTATGGCATGGCTACAGCAATGCTTGTGCCAGAAGAATGGGAGTGAACAGACTAAAGTGAGGAGGAGATAGCAAAACTGGTTTTTTTGATGGCCCTGCCAGCATAGGCAACAACCATTTCCTGACACTGAGACACAGTGACTCATTTCACCCTGCATACAGATCCCTAGAGTTACTTAATAATGGGCTGGTGACGGGCAGACCATGTGTTGAGAATGGCGACCCTTCCACCCTTCCCAGGAGAATCCAGATTGGTGTGGGCTTGACTGTGTAAGGTGTGTGCTCACATTTAAACACTGTTAAGTACTGAATCTCTCTTATAATCTGCTTTGAGTCCAGTGTTGACATAGCCTATGAATTCCTTTCTCAACAGTACCTAAAATACTGTGTCCCATTACCCTACATTACTGTAGGCTGGCTGTAAATTTTTTCCATGATTGATTATATTGTAGTTATCCACACTGAATTTCACTGGTAGTTTTACTGCTGAGGTGCTTGTGGCAATTTTCTTGAACTGTAAAAACTGTTTCTTTGTTGTCTCTGTTCTGTTTTTTTAGTGAGCTTTTATTTTGTGAGGAAATTCTTCCCTTTTTGAGCAAAATAATCTCTTCAAAAGCCTCTTCTGAAAGAATTCAATGAAAACTTATTTTGAATTTCACTGCTAGTCACATGACCATTTACTTCTTTGTAGTAGATGGAGGCATGTTTACTGAAAGTATGTCAACTCTTCCAATTGTACCAGCTTTAGCCAGTATGTCTAAATAGCTCTTTTCCTTACCATTCACTGTTTTTTTATGAAGTACCTTGCTCTCTTGTTCCTTCTTCTTTTCCAGATATTTGCCTTATATCTGTACCATTTGTCAGTTCTCTGAAACTCTGTTTTGACTGATCAGGATATCCACCAAAAGTTTCATATAATGGAAACAAACAAACAAAAAAACAAAAAACAAAAAACCCAAACAAAACAAACAAACAAACAAAAAACCAACCAAAAAAACAAACCCACAATTTAAAGTTAATAAGCCAGTGCTTTTCTCTCTTGGAAATATGATATGCTGACTTTTCTAATTTCAAACCAAATTGTAGAATACATTCTGATTTTTATTTTCTGATCTCAGTTCTCTTTGCCCTTTTTTGGAGCAGCCTAAATTTAATTAATTAAATAGTAAGGTAGTAAAAAAATTATCTGTTTGATACTAGCTTTTAAAGAAGCAACATCTTTTTTGAAAATTTCACTTAGCTACCACCTTTTCTTTTCAATACAAAGTTGGTACAATGTATGGATATCTAATTTCAGCAGCCATCTGTGTTACTTTTGTCAATTTATGCCAAGAATCTTGACATCTCAGGGTTTTATTGGATTTTTTTCTTCATGAATACTGTTGGCGGAATTTGAATTTACCTCTATGTGTATTTATATGTATACTAATCTTAAATTATTGGATGTATGAATATCTAGCATATATATATAAAAGACATTCTGAAAAAGTGACTGCATGTATCTTGCATCATGTGGACAGTTCTGCAAAAATCCCTAATCATGACCTCACACTTTATAGGACTGATAATTGCCACTTAATACAGGCACAATGACAGAGCAACAATAAAATCCTATTTCCAAATTGCGGCAGAAATCTGTTCTCAGGTTCTCTGTACCTTTATGATTGTCTGTACAAGTATTTAAGTCTCTGTCTACTCTTCTTTTGCTTATAGTTTGCAAATATCCTTTAATAACATATAATTATTTAAAATATCCATATATAATCCATATCTATATATATTAATTTAAATATATATAATTATTTAAAATATCTAGCTTCTTTGTTTATTTGACATCCAAAGTCCAGATTTCTGGGATGCAGCATGATCCACTCTAAGATGTCAAGATGCCTTTTATTTCAGAAGAATGTCACCTTTGAGTCAGAATAGCCAGAATATTTCTTTTGCAGTGCATTTAAGGTCTGAATTATATCCTTAGTATTGTCCTTAGTATGTCCTAGCATAGGTATCAGAACAAAGAGAGTATGTTAACAATGATTTCATGTTATGAATGTTTCCTTTCAGTTTTGTAATTGAATATTTAAATAGTACCTGGCCCTTTTCAACTAATTTAAAAGAAACCTGAGTGTATTTCTCTCTATGCATTTAAGTGGCGGACTCATTTTCCTCTTACTGTTTTTTCATTCTGCAAGTATTTGGCAGATACAGTATTTGCTTAATCGGTTTTTTCTTTCATTACCTTTTAAAAGCTTGCCAAATCATTTTAATACATCTAATTTCAACTTTATACTCTTACCTTTAGCTGTGATCTCAGTAGAGTGCCCGTGAATCATTCTGAGATGTGACAGCCACTGTCCAGTCAGAAGGACTACTCTCATTTTTTAGGTCAATGCTTACTGACTGCTAATAACAATATCCAAAACTTTTAAGTTTTTCTATAATAAGATGTCATCATAATCATATTCTTCTGGTTAATAACATAGTCTTCATTGAGATTGCCTGCTAGTGTTAAATCATTAAGACTACATTGAAATAGCTCTTAATTTTTATCAGGTCAAATGCGATAAGCTGGAGGAGGCTTTACTGTGGAAATAATGCCACAGAATTTATGACAATACATTGACAATATTGAAAGCAAGTGGAGAGAGCTCCACAAAAGTGCAGTTTTATTACTTTTTCACCACCTTTCTAATGAAATTTGATCTCAAAACATACTGATACTCCAAGGATGTTAGGTATTTTCATATGGTTCCAGGTATTGTTCTTATGGTTCCTAGAAAGCTACTATGAAAACTCAGGGACAAAAAGAAAAGCAGGATAAAGTATTACAGAAAGGAATGTAAAAGCAACCAACCAATCAACAAAAAAGCAACTAACAAAACCAAACTCATCTGAGTTGGCCCAACTGACTGGTCCATTGTTTTTATAGTCTGATCATGATTTGATATACTGAATGTATATTATATCAATAGGCTGTTTTCTTCTTGACAGGCTGGTTGCATGGCGTAAGTTCAAGTTAGTAAAAGTTAGGGTCTTCCTGAAATGCCCATTATTTTAAGTGAAATTCTACACTTACAAAATAATATTAAGTTGCAGAACTATAAATGGTTTCCATTACGGTGTTTGATTTCTGGAATGAATTTCTACTCAAGCCTTAGAGTAGATAAATAAATCTTCCATTGTTTAAAGAACCTTGCAACTTTTCTTATTTTCTCCTGGGCCTTTTTGTTAGATTTGATAAAATGTATGTCACAAAGTGTATGCTTGGGGTGTGCCTTCTGTGGGATTTGGAATTAATTTGAGTAGCCAAATAATAGCATTGTAGGGGTTGTGTACTGTGCTTATTTTGTCTCTTAAACCTATCCTCCAACAGGACAAGATGCCTATTGTTTCTTTACTTCTGTGTCCTCTTGTAACAGAATGAATATTACTGTAGGTTAGACTTCCTGTGGAAGAACAAGTTCAAAAAAGAGCGTGAGGAGATTGAAACCATGGAGAACCTAAATCGGGTGCTTCTGGAGAATGTGCTTCCAGCCCACGTAGCTGAACACTTCTTGGCAAGAAACCTGAAGAATGAGGTCAGCTGTCTCTGTATATCCTCTACTCTGTAAGAAAGTACCCTGGAAATACCATTTAATGCCGTTTTGAACAGTAGGTCCTTACAGTGAAAATATAAAATTACAGTCACTTTCATTTCCCCTTTCCTTCCTATAAGGTTAGCTTTACAGCACTGAATGCACCATAATAACTGAAATAAAAAGGCAACATTTTCCTAAGTGGCAATGCACTTTGCCTATTGAAGGACAGTAAAAACAGGTGAGGAGGAGGAAGAACAGAATGGTTGAATAAACATGCGTTTAATTTTAAATCATATGAATTCAGATACTTTTTCCTCCGTGATCAGAGTTGAAACCGGGTTCTGAATATTCTCCTGTTCACTGGCGAGCTTGTTTATTAGAATGAAAATTAACCTTTTCCCTGAACCAGTGACTATCTTAATTCTGGAAAGATGTTCTGAACAGTGAATTACCTGCTTACTCACTGCTTAATGGACCTAATCCAAGCACCAGAAAAGTCACCTAAAAGGTCCATTTTTACTCTTCTGGAAACTAGATTTGCTCCTAATATTCCTTTACAGTAATAATAAAGAAAATAAAAATCAGTAAATAAATAAATCCATTTAGAGAGAGTAACAGCTATAGAGATCTTAAATGTAAGAGTTTGATTTACTTGTGCATGCCAAATAATTGTTTCAAAAATGACAAAAGAATGCAGATATAGGGATTCATTTTTGATCTCCTGAGCCAAAAAGGACAACATCTTTCTTCCCTTTCACTGTGGTTTGCATTAAGGAATACTAATCAGGACTGCATTTCAATACTTTAGTATTCCCTGCAAATATTCATTTGGTAGCTAACGTCGAACAAAAGTTGCTGTGGGGTTCCTTTGAATGCAGTGAAGATGCTGGCTGGAAGCCAAGGTGATTCAGCTCCAATTCTCAGTTAAGGCATGAAACACAGCAAACCATCAGGAGACAGCTTTTTTGATTATGTGCTACTCTACCTCAGCTCCCCAGCAGTGCAACACTATCTGCCTACCTTTGTATTGACTACTGGATTTGTCTTGTCACCCCTTAAGATTCTTAGATTGGAATGAGTTTATTTAATTTAATGAAGCACAGAAATGGTAATGTGCTGAGCTCCCTAACTCATGTCAGGTGAAGTAAAAATTATTTTACATAATTTTAATGACATCCATTAAAAAAACCCCAAAAACTCAAGTTGTTCCTTGTTTTGTTTCTTTCTACAGTTTTCAAAGGAAGGCCCATTCAAATCTCTGACAGTATTCAGAAATAAAAGTATCTGTCATGTCTTTAGATTTGTTTCAATGTCAGCAAGGTTGTGTATGTAGATACACCTAAAGATGTTAGGGCAGTTACGCCTTTGTTTTCTCTGTGTGGATACCTAAGTCAACAGACACACTGAAATTTGTCCACGTTTTCCTTAGCTCCAAACATTCAAGTTAGTATAGTTTTATGTGTGTTCTCTTCTATTTAAAACAAATTCCGAGATTAAGAAGACAGATGAATATTCTATTTCAAAATACTACATCCCTTAATATTTTGCATGCAGCTGTATGGAGAAAAGGGAAAACAAACTGTGCTGCTTAAAAAGAAGGCAGGCAGAAAAAATGAAAAGGGAAAAAGTGAGTGGATGAATGCTAATGGGGAGCAGCGGGACTGTAGTTTCAAATGACCATTATAGCAGGATATACATTGACTAGTGCTAATACACCAAAAGCAAAGTTCCTTCAGAGCAAATAATAAAGGTTTGTTTGCTTTACTAGAACCTCCAGAGCTGGGTTTCTGCTTACGGTCTCCATGCTGGATACAAAACAGGTTATTTTTCAGTTGAGAGAAAGACAGGCTCAAATCTAAAATGAAAAGTAGGAAACAGGGACGGGATTAAATATATCTGCATCTGGCTTTTGCAGTTTTCTCTTTAATGCTTTTATCCTTCAGATTCTCTATTAGTAAAAAGTGCTTGGGAGCTTTTTTGCTGCAAGCTAACTGGCAAGCCCATCACTGAACAAGAGGAATTGTGCTTTATGAGCTACAGGATGGAGCTAGCACCTTACTTAGAGAAAAAAATCTGCCCCAGAGAAGCTGACCACCATAGCCTTCCAAGGGATAGAATTAGACTGGTTTTCCTTCTCGATCCCAGGAAGATCTTCAGGCACTGGAGATGAGGGGACAGTAAAAGGAACATAACTTGCAGAATTTCAGATGTTATTAAAGAGGAAAAAGATTTGAATGCAAAGGACAGGATGATTTTGTTTTTGTTAAAATAAGAAAAGCTGTTCCTTCCTAGAATGGTATTGCATTTATTTTTATGACTACACATTTTGGAAAGTACTGTTTCAAGAGAAGAACTTTCAGGAAAATTAAGGCACTCAGTTGTAACATCCTATATTATTTTGATCTAAATAAACTAGCTGGGGATGTCTCCTTAAAATTCCCTGAAATTTATTGTGATAGTCAGAACTACTACTCATCTGGTTATAAATAGTGTCGCTTGTTGTTGTTTCCATGATGGTGCTATGTTATTGAGCATTATGGATATTGCCCCAGTATTAGATAGGAAGGAGGACAAATAGGTTGCTATAACTGAAGTTACAGGGAAGGTGACCTGAGGAAATAGAAGTAAAGCTGAGTTAACCACAGAATGTAGTCTCTGTACCTTGTTAGGGAAATACTCCCATCTGACCATCCAGGAGCTACCCTGGCAGTCACACTTGCACCACCCAAGCTGGGACCGAGTCCCCTTCACAGTGGGCAGCTCCAGTGAGCCAACAGGTGCCCCACCTGACTCTCCACACACAACACACTCACAGTCAGACCAGTTTTCCTTACTGGCTTGACCTCTGGGTTTAGTCACAGAATTCTGGATTTAATCATGGTGCAACAAGAGAATAAAGCTTGAGCTGTGAATCGCAACAATATATCCCATCCCTACAGCACACAGTCGTGGTGGAGCTTCAGCAATACTATAGGTATAGAATCCTTTGGAAACACAGGAGGCACAAAAATCTAGTAATGAATAATTTGTCTCCTCCAGCTGCTCGTGTTCCTCCCTGTCCGTCATTATTTTCATGTTTGCTCAGAAACTTCCTTCACACCCATGATGGGATGAAACAGTCAGCAGTTTTCCCATCATTCTGTTATTTTTTAGTTATACATCAGCAGTTAAGATCCACTATATCTGTCCACATCTGTGTACAGGCACACCACGTTCTTCCAAAAGGACACACTGACTGTCAAATTGCAAAACCCAAGTTTTTCTAAGTAAAAAGGGAAATAATATCTTATGCTTCTTGAAGTCACAGAATAAATCCTTTTCATGTGAGCACTGAAATCCCTTTTTACTCAAATAACAACTTGAAGGTAGTTTTACATTAGATAACAGCCTGTGTTAGTTCTGCAGTATTTGATATTTAGTAAAAAAGAAAAAATAATTATAAAAATTATTTTTTTGAAAGAAGCTGCTGAGAGTTTTTTCTGTGCTTAGAAAAAACTAATAGCTGGCTAATTTTAAAAATAAACAACTGATAAAACTATTAAGAAGTTAGATTTGCCTCTATGAGGTTTACATTTTAAAAATAAACAAGCCTTTTTTTTACTTCTGGCTTTGAAAGGTAACTAAGCTCTAGTAGAGCTAGCCCTGCTCTTCCTGTGCCCTGCATGGCTTGGGGAGAGCCAGGCTGGACCCCAGAAGCTCCTGGGTGTGGGACAGGAGGCCAGAGGGCCCCAGGCTGGTCTGGGCTACAGCCGTAAATATTTTGCTAACACTAAGCTTTTTTTTCTCTTGGCTTGGGCAGAGCCAGGGTTCACTGGGCCCTAAGCTGAGCTAGGCTTTTCTTTTCTTCCCAGCAGCTGCTGGGCAAAGAGAGGGGCCCAGCATGGCCTGAAATTTATTCCTGTGACTGCTGCAGCTACTGCTTACAACTATCTTTAGGTTTGGGTGAGATATTAACTCTTGTACTACACAGATGACACTTGCAGACCCTGATCTTTTCTCAAAGAAAAAAAAAGTAACAACACATAAAAAAACAACATGAAAACACCAAGGTCAGTAAAAAAAAAAAGTCAAGCTTCAGATAGAAAGAGAATGAGAAGATGTTTTAGTGGAGCTAAAAGTTCTTTTAGTAAGACTATGAAAATAAACAATAATACACTGAAATATCTCAATTTGTGAGAGAGTATAGAAAGATAAAGTATTCAAACTGTAGATGGGAGCAAAAGTATCCATGAGAAACCAAAATAAATGCTGAAAAGACTGTGATCCTATGAAAAGCTTGAACAGAAAAAAACAGAGTGATAAAAATCCTTTGACTCCAGGGAAAAAAATAAAAGACCTGTGTTCTCAGAAACAAAAACAATTGCAGAAGTAGATAAAGAAAACCTTTGCTTTTAAACAGCCCATCCTTAAAATAATACCCCATAATTTGATGTGGCCCATAAATGCAGCTGTAAAAGGCTGTGAAAATGAGAAGAGTTTTCATGACTGCAAATCTTTTCCCAGGCAGCTGCTATTCATAAAATCAAAAAGGCAGAGAGAACTGTTTCTTGTAAAGAAGTCTCCATAGCATTACAAAAAAAAGGTTCCTCTCCCTATAAAAACTAATAAAAAAGTATTGTAAAATTAGAAACTAATTCAAAATCCAAAATTTTGTCTCTACGTTATCAGTTAAGAAAAAAAAAGAAATCAGGCAGGGGGAGGAAAAAGTTCTAAAAGTTTTATTCTAATGCTTCTAATTCTTTTAGTCCTGTTAATAAAATTTTCTTTATACCTTTTAAGTTTTAAATCTATTTTTCCCTTCTCCTAATCCATATCTCACAACAAAAAATAAGTACACTAGTAATTTTAGCCAGCACTAAACCCACCACATTATTTAGTGCGTTAGCCAAGAAACTCAAATTCACTAATCTAAACCATTACACAGCCTCTTCTATTGCTGTGTCTACCTTTTTTTATAGAAACTATTTATTTTTTAAGTATTAGTTTAATAAATTTTCTTTCTTTCTGCCTTTTTTGGGGGGATATGAATTTGTCCTGAAAGGAGAGAGAGTCTAATGTTGAAGGGCAGTGGAGAGGAAACTGAAGGGGTAGTAGGAAGTAGTCATTTTTAGCACCAGAATCTTTCTGTGGAGTAGAGATATTCTACTATAATAGGCAGTGCAGACTCTGCCATAAGTAAGTTTCAGTTCAGGTGACTTCTTTCTTTTTGCCCCAGCTCCTTGTTATGCAAAAGAAAGCGTAATTATTTTGACCTCTTAGGCATATTGTCATTTTAAGTTAGGAACTATCAATCAGGGTCATACTGCATTATGCATTTGTAATACAATGAGTTTGTGATTTTGGTTCAGTTTTTTAGTCAGTACAATAACAAACAGCTAATAATAAATTGGATATTGTTTTACAAAATACATTTTCAGCCATGCAAGCCATACTAAATTATCTTCATAAGAAGTCTCAGAGATGGGCTCTATCTAATAATTTGTGAACATTTTGTTTAAATAGAGTTAATGTTCAGGAAGAAAAAAAATCATTAGAGTATTTTCAGCTTTATATATTAAGTCTCTTTTATGAACAGGTTGACGCATTGTTTAAAATTAATAAATGCAACTAAATGCAAAAAACATGCAACCTCCCTCTTAAGGCATTCTAACTACTGCACACCTCTGTTTTTAGATCCTGGACACTGCATGTTAATAAGGAAACATATTTACAGCTGGGTATGATTAATTTTTTTTCTTCATTCTGTTTTCTTTACAGGATCTGTATCATCAGTCATACGACTGCGTCTGTGTCATGTTTGCGTCTGTTCCAGATTTCAAGGAATTTTACACAGAATCTGATGTAAATAAGGAAGGGTTGGAATGTCTTAGGCTGCTAAATGAGATCATTGCGGACTTTGATGATGTATGTTCCTACAAGAATGATTGACATATGGTTTCAATCTTACTAACTCATGATATGCAACAGTCAGAAAACATACTTGAAGTGGAGAGTGGAAAAGCTGTCAGAATATACTTATGGGGACTATTAACGGAAAAAAGAGATTTATATGTGGAATAAATCAGATATTGATCTGATATCATATTCAATTGCTTTTTATTTGCTATAATGAGAATCCTATGTGTACTTTTTTTTTTTTTTTTTGCCCTTTAGCTGCAGCTCTTGAGGCAGTTACATTAAATGTTATGTATTAACCACAGGTTCTAAATATGAATGTGCAAAGTCAGGTATAACTTTGTGTTATACCTGATCTGCACTGATCATTTGATACAAGCAAATCAAATGATTGTAAAAGTTTTAATATCCCATTCTCTGAAGTCAGAAGCAAGTAGAGAGCATGACTACAAATGGACAGGGAAAAGGCATCTATAAAGTTCTCACTGAAAACATTATTTCTGTATAAGGAAGTTAACTCAGAATGCAGTGTGAATTTGTGGATCTGCAGCTATAGAGGGTATTTTAGCAGCAAAACCCATTTGTAGAGCATTGGGTGCCCAATGTTCAAAACAAATTGGGATATATGAACTAAAATCCTTGGATTTTCACCCCATTGACATGGACTATTCCACTGGCATAGAATAAATGCTTACTTTCAGAAAGCTGCCTAAAACTTAAATGTTGGCTGGTATGGTGATCCAGTTCCAATATCACATGAGTACAAAGTCTACTGACTTTTAAAACCTTTATGTAAAATAAGATAGGATTTATTCTCACTGCTATAAATTTCATCCCTTTTATAGTAAAAAGGTATTTTAGAAGACAGAAATCCCCTTTTCTTGGAGTTCTATAGCCACTGTTTTACCTGTCTTCAAGTCCTTCATTCTGTATATATTTGTGAAACCATTTGAGGTCCATACAGAAACTTTTCTAAGAGTTGATTCTCTGATTGGTGTTAAGAGTAACAGGGCTGCTGATCTGAATAATGAATGACTGTCCTTATTTTACAGTTATTGTCAAAGCCAAAGTTCAGTGGTGTTGAAAAGATAAAGACCATTGGAAGCACTTACATGGCAGCAACAGGACTGAGCGCTACACCCAACCAAGAGCAGTGTCAGGTACAGGAAAATGTTTCTGCTTAACAAAAAGCATACTGAAATGAAGGCTAAAATTTTGTTCACTAGGCTGCAGGTTATGTATAATAATGTGGTCTAGTTTTTTATTATTAACATAGATTGTATTGTACTGGACAAGTATATACTTTAGCAGTCTGTGAATTTTTATTCATATTGCAGTTTGAAAATTCCACCTGTGTGTTTGCTAAAGCAGGCTTTCTACTCAAAATACAGTACAGCATTTTATTCCTATGTGCTGCATCAGGACTGGATTTACAGAGCATACAAAAGATTGCAAGAGTTAATGTTTTCCATTGAGCTGGGAGGGAGATTTGCTTTAGTAACTATACACCTATAGAACCCTCAGACTCAGCATTGCAAATATGTTCCTTTGTTTCTAGTTTACTTAATATGGTAGGATTAGGAACTGCAGTCAGTGGAAATCCAGTTCAGAGAAGCAGTTCATAACTTATTCAAAATCTTTGCTTTTGCCTTGATCTTTAGAGTACTATGGGATAGTGAGAGAGAGAGACAGCAATTAAGAATCAACAGTCTTGTTGATTAAATCCTTAAAGCTAAGGATTAATATGCTCTTGTCAAATTCATGTTCCTTCTAAACACAAGCAATTACCACATGAACTATAGACCCTAAGGATCCTGAAGACAAGGAATTATTTTAAATTAGCTCTGACATTTAATACAGGGAGGTGAAGGGAATGAATAAAATGCAGAACTTCAGACTGAAGATGTGAAGACATAGAGAGCTCTCCATCACAACTAAAACTAGTGTATTCAGAGGAAGAAATTTATCATTTGAGTTATTTCCACAATCAGGAGATCCACAGTTAGCATTCCTTTGCTGATTTAGTTCACATTCTCAGCATAAATCCACCACTCAGCAGCCTTCAGTTTCTTCCAGATTCTTAAAGATGCACAGATCCTGCAGTATCTGATGCGGCAATATGTGGCAGCGACTGACTAGTAGACATACTGCTGGGAACCACCCCCAACTTAAAACAAGCATCCAAGGAAGACTAAGTTTCTAGGAAAAGGGTCTGAACAGGTCCATCTGTTTTATCTAAGAGTGAACTCCAAAGAAAACAGATTTCATTTACCTAAACAGCTGTTCCAGCAAGCACCACTACTGTCCCACCCTAGGTTGATGCATGCACTCCATGAGTCATCTCTGAAGTTGTCATCTGTCCATCTCTTCTGTCCCTTTATCTCAAGAAATAGGGAAGATTCAGTAATTTCTCACAGAGATCAAGAAGTCCATGTCTTATGAAATCATTCCCTTGTCAGATCCTACCATGGGCTGTGGGACACAAAAATCCATTTTCTCTTCAGCCTGAAAGGACTCAAAACAGCACTTAAAATCAGGCTACTTTGTTATGTATGAGGAGATATTAAGTCTACAGCCTTGATAAATGGTCTAAGCCCTGTAAATAAAAGGGCAGAGTGGGGTTGCATTCTTCCTCTTGTGTTTTAGTCATTTTCAGGTCTGTTAAATGTTCTCAGAAGTATTTGCTTATCTGCAAGATGAGATCAGTGGAAGAATTCTTAAAATTGTGAATTTCATTGGATCTTAAGCATTTTATAAGGGTGCTGAGCTGTGCAACAGTGAGAGGGAAGAAACTCTGTGGGGCTGTCCACAAGCATTATTTATTATGAAAGGGAATACAATAGAAGCAGACACTTAGAGAAAATGAATTAACAAATTCTAGGCGCACAAAGATGTTGAGTGCCTGCAGCATTAGATAGCAGCTAATCAGTCACTTGACAATCAAAAGGCATGGTTTGGATCTATCACCTCTAGACTGCCTGGTAGTACAGAAGTGAAATGCATGCTGTCTCTTGGCCATTGTTTGATCTAACTGATGCTGGACAGGATACCATCTACATTACTTCTCTACATCTGCCTGCTGACATTAGGACATTCCTAAGGGCTTAAGTGTCTTCAAGTGTTCAGCATATTTTGGTTGTTGTTCTCACAGTAACCAAGGCTCACAAGAACAATTTTACACTATTTGTTTGTCTTTTGAATTCAGGAACCTGAACGACAGTATATGCACATAGGAACTATGGTGGAGTTTGCATTTGCCTTGGTGGCAAAACTGGATGTCATAAACAAGCATTCATTCAATGACTTCAAGTTACGAGTAGGTGAGTATCACAGGATTCTTAGGAGAATATCATGGTCAATGGGGAGAATTCAGTGCAAACTACCAGCTGATTAAAATAGTGGTAGAACTAACTAAAAAAGCCATGATAGTAAAACAGCACCATCTCTGCCCTGTTTAAAAGCTGCCTACATGGTATTGCCCACACAACCCCCAGTGTTTCAAGGCTAGACTTGAAAAAGGGCAGTATTCCTATTTAAAGAATGGCTGAAAAAAAGTGTTCACATTGCTCTGAATGGTTTTATGGTAATTCTGTAAAAATTATTGTAGAGGTTATAAGCCATACATTTTTGGAAGTTTATAAAGACCAAAAGAATACATGAGAAAGAAGCCCAGACTGGGCTTTGCAAAACTATATAAATGGTTTTTCAGAGGACAGGAGTTAAAATAAGCCAGTGAGGCTGGAGTTTGAAATATTTTGCATGTACTAGATTCAAGCAAGAACACAAAAATGCATCTTTCCTTTGCAGTGTTAGACAAGGGAAAGTATTTGTCTTTGTTATTCAGGTAATAGCAAAGATGACTAGCTATTTCTCTTGGAAAGAGGCATCCTGTATGTTTCAGTTTCTAATTGCTTCTTCTTGTTTATCCTGGTATTTTTAAAAATAAATAGCTGCAGTAAGCAGTAGAAAGAACAATGAAATAAATTAATTCAGAGCTGGTCAAGAACCATATGTTCCAAAATGTTTATTTCCTGATAGCAGTGCACAGCAGTTTCACAATGCAATATGTAACAGGGAAAGTGTGAAATGAAAACAATAAGCAAATATTGAAAACCCATAAATTCTGTGTACGTGTCAAAAATATTTTATTTCCAACCATTATTCTCTTGTCCTGTCTTTTTCTTGCTGTGCCACTTGTTCTTCCTTTTCAGCTACTCCTCTCAAGTCTATTTCACAGTGCCACCCACTGGCAAAACTTGCTGTCTTCTGCCTCTGGCTTTTTAGGGTACTCCTTTGCAAGTATGTTTTGTATTCCTTTCTAGAGCTAAAAATAACAAGTCAAATCAGATGTATGCTTCTTGAGAAGCATACTCCTTAAAAGTGTTACAGAACTTGATGGTTCTTGCCTTAGCTGACATGGCACATACTTGCAAACACATTTGTATCAGCAGCTTCAATACAGACAGAGAGCTGCTGAATGCCGGGACTGCATCTGCAAATTGTTTAAAGGAGTACTGAGTCCTTTTAAGTGGGGATCATGAAGCAAAATAAAACGCTCACTTTGGATTTTTACAGTTCTTGCTACAGATTACAGAGAACTCAGACTCCTTTGCTTCATAAAGTGAGAAAACATTTTAACTCTAAAAGAAACACAGGCCCCAAAGTGGTATTTGTGCCACCATAATCCAACATAGACACCACAGAGATCTTAATTTTTCTTGCACTTCTTCTCTACTTCCCACTGGACGATGAAAGCCTCTGATATCCATACTAATTATAGCTACAGAAGCATTTTAACAACTACTTCTGACTTAGTCCCCACTGTGAGGACTTGTACCCAAACTGCCCTTTGTAAAAGCCTCCCTTGGCCAGCATCTAACTCTGAAATTTTTGCAACTCATTAGAGGTCTCAGCTTTCATAATTTTCTGTGAGTGCCCAAAATGATAGTGTGGTTTAGGAGGTACACACTGCTCTGATCTTGTCAGTCAAGAGAGGGGAGCATCTAGATGATATTTTAGGCATTCCTTCCCTTCTGCAAGTTGAGGTGCTTGATTTATGAGACGAGCTCAGATACGCTTTGCAGCGGGTTTTGCACAGGTATTGCTTTCTTTCAGAAGAGAGGCCGGTATGCTGTTTTACATATAACTTCATAGTTAGAACATTTGTCTGTGTGTTAGGTGACTTAATTTGGTTCCTGGTTTTGGGTGAAGCTAGGCCATGAGCCCATGCTATAGGATACTTCAGAATGATATATTCTCTGTCATTCCTGCTGCTGAACAGTATTGCATTCCATAGAATGAATGATTAAATATTGTTTTGGATATGAGAAAAAGAGATGATTTCACCCTCTTTTAGAGCATTCACCTGTAGTGAGAGTACTACTCTTCCAGCCTTGTCCCAGTAAACATTCATGTCATGCAAAAAAGACCAACACCAGCAGGAATGACTTAGAGAAGCATATCCCACAATGCTTGGGTGGCCAGAACACACTCCTAAGAGACACTGGTAGAAGTTCCCTCAGAGGAGGAGGGATCTGAAGGTGACTCTTGAGCCCCTGAGGTATTTCTCAAACCATCAGCAGTGGTGGTTAAGGAAGGAGGTAAAAAAAAAGTAGTCCCACTCAAACCACTGTATTTTGTAGAAAGTTTTACTGCATTGCCCCAGTTTCTGGACCATGGCCACACATACCTCTTTAATATTCCCTAGTAGCCAGATTGGACTACCCAGCAGATGACTTTTATAGATTCCACTCTTAGTTCCCCAGTGCTTTCTACAAGTTGTGTGTCATGAAGTAGAAAAACCCATCTATGGCTCAGTTGTTAATACAAACTGTTGCAAGGCCCCAGTCCCTTTGTGCATTTAACCCCAAACACTTAGACAAATATATATCAGTTTCCATTTTTTATCTTGTAGTGTTTGCATATTTTCCCAATTTAACTTCTACAGTCAATTTTTCAGGGTTTCCAAGTGGGCTGATTGTGTAATTGCTAGCCTGCGCTGCCATGTTACATACCAGCTGAGCCATCTTTGAGATCCCTCTCCATCCTACAATCAAATCACACTTTCATATTGCTGCATGGATATATCCCTAAAGATGGTTTCTGTCAATGACTTAACAGAAATTAGTTATGATCCACTGAGATAAATTTAGAAATCCAAATAACTCACTTGTTCAGGCTTTATTTCTCATTAGGCTTAACTTGGCTTTCCTGCTCATCGGTATGTACAGCTACAATTATAGTACATTTGATGCTGGTTAACAATAGTACTTTGGATTTAGCCTCCTAGTTTCTTTCCCTACTAGCAGAGTACAGCTCACTGCCTTCACAGATGTAACATAGGTTACAAACTGACTGAAAGATAAAAAATTCCCATGAGGAACTATATTGCTCTACCACATACTATACATAAGCTACTGTGTGCTTAATCAAATTATTTGAATACATATATTTATATTGCAGATCTTTAGTACCATTTATGTACCATTTGTGGTACTTTAGAACATTCTATATGGTCAGTCCAGCCTTCAGAACAAGGCTTCAAATCCCCATGCTCATTTGCATTAGTTTATTCTACATTTAAGAAGCAAAGAAGCTATAAAAGTAACTTGATTTGGCTGTCAACTATTGCAGAGAGAAGTCCTTTTCACTACAAGTAGAAATTAAAAGAGATTCTTGTATATCTGTTTTCCCAGAGGCTGCTGCTCAACCCACAATGTGGTGTTCATGCTACCTAATAAAGGCTGCAGCAGGTTATTAAGATGCCAGTGGTTGAAAATAAAAAATTACTCAGGATGGGAGGGAGCTGTAAAATTAAGATTAGATGAACTGACTTCTGGCATTTTTATAACTAACATTCTCTTGCCATAAATGGTTGATAAAACCATGGTGAACAACTGTTTGCTGCTGTACTCACTATTCAGCGAGGGCCAAATGCTGCATTCATTGACTTGCTATAAGCCAGATGCACTGTATGTCCTTGTTTGGTGGATTTCAATCACAGAATCAATTAAGTTGGAAAAGACCTCTGAGATCATCAAGTTTGACCTATGACTGAACACCCTCATGTCAACTAGATACAGCACCAAATGCTACATCCAGTCTTTTCTTAAACACCTCCAGGGACAGTGACTCCACCACCTCCCCAGTCAGCTCCTTCCAATGTCTAGTCACCCTTCATGTGAAGCAATTGTTCCTAAAATGATCACCTAAATCTCCCCTGGCACTGCCTGAGACTGTCATCTTAACCTGTCACTGCTTGCCTGGGAGAAGACAGCAACCCCCACCTGGCTACAGCCTCCTTTCAAATAGCTGTAGGGAGTGATAAGGTTTCCTCTGAGCCTCATTTTCTCAAGGCTAAACAACCCCAGCTCCCTCAGAGGCTCCTCACAGGACTTGTGTTCCAGGGCCTTCACCAGCTTTGTTGCCTTTCTCTTCATTGGTAATGTCAAGGTTCTGATATTTTCCAGGTATAAACCATGGACCTGTAATAGCTGGAGTAATTGGAGCTCAAAAACCACAATATGATATATGGGGCAATACAGTAAATGTGGCCAGCAGGATGGACAGCACTGGTGTCTTAGATAAAATACAGGTAAGTGTTGATGTTGTGCTAGTGGGCTTTCATCTAAAATGGCAGAATGGCCTAAAGTTTGATTCACCAACAGTTACGTGAGAAATTGGCAACAGCAGCCCTGAAAGGTGATGCTAACCACCACCTTACTATCATTTCATTTAAACAGCCTTAGTTGTTGTAGAAAAATGGAGAAGCTTGGGTCTACTCAAGTGAAAATAAGCTCCTGAAGTTGAGGAAAGTGCTGTGTGAGGAAGAGTATTGTCCCTAGTTCCATTTAGCTATCTACAGGCTCTCTGCTGGCAACCCCGAGTACAAAAGTGGTTACACCAGATTTGATACTTGATGTAAGTGATTAGAATGGGCATCCAACAACAGAGTGCTTGAAAGCTTAGGTGTTCAAAGCTCACTTGAGACACTTAAAGACCTTTTGAGCATTACAGAAAACCCCTTATAACTGAACAGAACAGTATGTTATCTTCACACTCTGGAAGAAGATTCTGCTCTGCTTTGTTATCAACACTGTCTGTATTACTGTATTGTTGCAGGTTACAGAGGAGACAAACAACGTTCTGCAAACACTGGGGTACATGAGCACCTGTAGAGGAATAATAAATGTAAAAGGAAAAGGAGAATTAAAGACATACTTTGTACATACAGAAATGACAAGATCCCTGTCACAAGGGAACATGGCATCTTGAAGATGCTTTTACGTGTCAGCAGTACTATATTTTCAGGAAAGTATCACACACTTTTTAACTACATTTTGGCCCTTAACATGCGTGCTATTTTCTCATATGTGGCACTTATTTTAATATGGCTGCAGAATAGTCCCATGAGCCATCATTTTGCACCTTGATATTTCTATGTTCAAGGACAGTTGTGATGTACGCGATAGGACTGCAAGATTGTACTGCTACTTGCACTGTTATTCAAACACAAGAAAAGAAGGAATAGGAATCAAAAGGAGGTTACACATCCTGAAAGGACTAAAGAGAAGTGTTAGTGACAAATGTGGGGAAAAAAGGCAATAAAGCTAGGGGTGCATACTATTTTCTGATGCATGGTGTTTTCTGGAAAATACAGTCGCTCCTCAATAGCATCCATTAATCTGGTATTAAAGTATACAGTATTGTAGATAAGTTTACTCTGTCCACACATGATTTGGATGTGATCACCAGTTGCATCTCATAGCCAGGGACACGTTGGGTGGCTTGCTGGCATTCTTTCTGATGAGAGAACTAACAATGCTGGAATCGTTTTGTACAAACGTGTCAAATGTTTTGAAGCTATTGTATTTTGTAAGGTTAATTCATTAAAAGTTTATATGTACTTTGCCTTACTGTTGCTGTCTCTTAGTTTTGCTTCCTTTCTTGGCTTCTGTCACTTTGAAGCTGTGTGTTTTCTGCTGCTGCCACTGCTTTTTATTCAGTAGCTAGGTGTTGAGGCAGGCTGTGGCCAGCTATCTCAACAGCCTTGGTCAATAATATCTGCTAGACTTGCTACTGCTTTTCAGAAAGTGTCACGTCTATTGTCTTCAGTCATGGGTGGCATGCTTGACACTTTGCAGTCACTACCTAGGTGATACAGAAGACTGACTCAAATCCATAAACACAACCAAAGTGGGGGATACTGAAAACAGTAGCAGTGCTGCTTCCTAACTGGCCTGCAGTGCTTAAACAAGAGAAACTGTACAAGAGAAGAAAAAGTTCTGTTTTGCACTTTGACAACCTCTTTTGCTATTGTATGCATTTCACTTAACCTTCACAACACTGGATTTTGTGGGATATTTAAAGTAATAATCTAATTTGTACTTACTAGGATATAAGTAAAATGCTATTTTGTGGGTATTTCAGATTAATTTAAATCCCTTTGAATTTAAAGGTATCATACTTCCAGAGTTTCATAGATGAGCCAGGTGACAGCAAAAGTAGGTAATTTTACTATCGATTCTCCTTTGAAGCACAGATAGTAACAATTAAGTTTTGCATTGTTGTAATCAATTCTTTCAGTCATGGCATCCTAACAAGAAAATAATACTATTTACAAAATAGCATATAATTACAAGATTTTTTTCTGAATGATACCATATGAATATGGAAATCAACTTATGCACGTCTGGCAATGTTATTGAAATGTAAAAAGTATTCAGACTGCTCATTCATGAAACATACATATATACATACATATACATTTGTATAGCATTGGTATCCCTTCTGAAGTTCTCAGAACTGTGGGTCCCAAATACATGGCATCAGTCCAGTCTCACTGAAAGTGGCAGTTTACTCACATCAGCCATCTGCTCACTAATGAATTGGAATGACAGTACATTTCAAAGTGCCTAATTTGCTGTAAAACAGACAATCTGAATTTTGATCACCTTAAGCAACTCTAAAAGCAAAATGTAACTTATTTCACTTAAGTTTGACTTAACACACTTGATTTTTCATCCAGACCTGGAGACTTTTAAATAATAATTTTCAAGACAGGTGCTCAGTCTAATAAAATCTCATGAAAAATATTTTTGTTGTCTTTATGATTTCTTCCTTTAAATTATTAAATTAAGATAAAAGTTTTCCAGTGGAATTAAAGACTTTCCAAATAGCTTACATGGCCGCAAAACCAATGTCCCAGTCATTGACTAGCTGTCAGTTAGCTGTCACTTAAGACTTCTCCAAAATCCCTCCTTGCCTATAAATCTGTCTTAGGAACACTGAAATAAGTTATTATTATCTCCTTCTTAGACTTTGAATGTACTCCGGGCCTTTAAAATCAGTGTGGCATTACCACAGGTCAATGCACTAATTTCTTACTGTGGATGAAAACTCTTATTATATTGACAATATTATATTGTCATATATATGTGCAGCTTTCAGGTATAACCTGTGCATTCAGGATTGTGTTTTCATTTGTATTCTTGCACATCATTAACAAACCTAGTACCTAACTCCATAGTCTTGTTTCTATTATTTTTATAAAAGTTAAACAGTATTATTTCTGTAAGCTATGAAATATTAAAACTTTTGAATGGTGGGGAGCTGACTAGTCCAATGAAATATAAAGAAAGGTGTATGTGTCCTCCAAGAGCATGTTGAAAATGCCCATGTTCAAAGCGTTCATATTTCACTGGTGGTGTTCTCTCATTTTGTAATTGCGTTTACATTCTTGCAGCCAAATCCTACTAAAGAACACAGAAGTGGGCAAAAGATACATGTATCTTTGCCCCGACAAAGAAAGGTGCATACCATCCTCTCTACCTTCAGTTGCTGAGTATTATTCTTCCTAGTGCTGAGAAGCTATTTGTATTTAATAAATACCTCTTGTCTTCCAATGCATTTTACATGTTTATACTGGCTTATTTTTCCTCTGTCTAGATCCACTTATGAAAACAACTTAATTTCCTCCTCCTGCAGCAATTTTGGCCGCTGTAACTGGATATAACATTATTGATGTATCAGCCCATAGCCTGAAAAACTTTATGATAGTGATGTAAATCAGTATTTGACATTCCATATATTCCATATCATGGTAAGATTCATCAAGTTCTACAACTTCCATGTTGGTGACATAGTTCACAGCTCGCTAGTGAAACACAGAATGGGACTTCCAAAAGTACAGTGGGAACTCATTTCACACTGTAAGGCAGCAGCCAAAAGATCAATGTAAGAGTGATTAACTGTGGTCTGGGAAAATCAAATGGGAACACCTGGTAAGCCTGCTGGAATTGTTTTTCCAAGTCAGTGCTTTGCTCCAGTTTATGGAGGGCTACCAAAGGACAGGAAGAAAGATGAGACTTGCAGATGTTTTTATAAACTATGGAAATAGTTTGGATTATGTGTAAATAAATACTATTTAGCTGATGTTTCTAAAAAGAGACATTAGTGTCTTATTTATGCTATGTGAAAAGCATTTTTCATTTTCTTATATTCATATATGCTTCCTCCATTTTGAAAAATATCCTCCCTTTTTCCACTGAGACGCAAGTAGTTCAGCCTGATTGTCTCTAAAGCAATGTGAGGGAAGACCTGTTAAGTTACTGTTAAAATATATTATTAGCTTGTACTTTAATACATAGTTTTCCTTCTTGTTGTGGTGTAGTGAACATACACTAATTTTTATTTTTCAGATAGCAGATTCTAGGTGTAAATACCCTTCAAGATTTTTTACAGGTGAACCCCAAACAATTTTAAGTCTAGGGATTTTTTGTTTTATTTTCTTGGTTTGGAAGACAGGTGTCTGGTAAGGAGGGCAGGAGCCTCCCTTGGCATGAAAAATATATACCCCTCTCTCCTAATTATTATAATTTTGAAATCAAGGGGCTCTCAGGCAAAGATATGGGGATAGGAATAACAGTTCTTTACTAGTATGTATAACAAGGCAAACAAACAACAACTATGGAATTAATAACAAAACAGAACCAGGGACCCCGTTACAGCCTTCTCGGCCGACACGGGAAAGGATGGAAGAGAGGCTTTGCTTCAAAAACCCCTCGGGCAGTCAGTCCCCGTGCTCCTGCAGGGCTCTGTGGAACAGCCAGCTGGAACGGCAGGAATGAGCAGAAATCCCGGGCAGCTGGATGAGGAGTATCAGAGGCTCCGTGGCGGTGGCTGGAACGGCAGCACGTCCCGGCAGGACAGGGGGTGCAAGGCCCACAAACAAACAAGAAGAAGCAGCCGCTCTGTCTGGGCTATGGCGAATTCCTTTTTCCAAGTGTCTGTCCTGCTCGGAAAAAGAACCAGCTTCCCTACCGCAGCTGCCCTCGCCTTCTCTTTTACCTGCCCTCCCTTCCTCCCTGGGCCCAGCCAAGTATCAGCAATCAGGTTTTCCCACAACTAATGGGAAAAATGCCATAGGTGAGAAGGAAGGACACCTAACCTCAAACATTTATTCTTCATTTTTTGAAGAGTGATTCTGAGGAGAAAATATAAAATTGTAGATGTATGTGCCTTAAATAAAATATTTAACTAAGAGATCATTTTCTGTTCTTTGAAGTAATTCAGATTTGTCTGGGTTTGTCAAGTGGTATATAAATCAACTATAATTAGTTCACCCTAATTTTGGTAGGGACACTAATTGGTAGAGGGACATTATTAGTTCACCCTAAAGTTTGCCACATATTAATTTTAAGCATTTTCAAATTTACAGACAAGAATTATTCAAGTCCATGTAATTTTTGATATGTCAAAATGCAAGATAAGGGTTATTATTAATGTTTGCAACTATCAAGATATGAACCCCTTCATGTTATAGGATGCCCTGTTTAAAACAAAGATTCTGCTAAGTATTGTTTGAAATTTTTTGGATGGAGTATTTCTCAGATCTATCTGTACCACTGAGATGCTCTTCATGAAAGTCTGTTTTGACAGGAAAAAATGCATTTGAAGTATTTCAAAAGGTTGACATTCCTGGACTAGAATTTTTCATGTTTGATTCCAAAAAAGTGTTACAAATAGCAATTTCTATGAAAGTTATGTCACATAATGCATAAAAATGTGTATTACTTTAACTACTAAGAGAATTATTGAATAGAATATTGGTCTGAATTGGAACAGATATCAGTCAGCTACATTAGATTTTGTGGCAAGGTTTAGATAGCAATTAGAGGGGGACATGGCTACAGGGTTGTCTCCATGAGAAGCTGCCAGAAACTTCCACCATGTCCAACAGAGCCAATGCCAGACAATTCCAAAACCAACCCACCACTGGCCAAATTGAGCCCATCAACAACAGCTCTGGAATAACACATTTGAGATAAAAAATGCAGCAGAAACAGCAATTAAGGAGAGTAAACATCTCTGGAAATACCAGGGGCAGCAAGGGAGGACGAGGAGATGTTCCAGGCAGCAGAGCAGAGATGCACACCATCATCAGGCAGCTGTGTCCTTACAGCCCTTGGAGGTCCATGGTAGAGCAGAGATCCACCTGCTGCCCACAGACAACCCCACACTGGACCAGGTGCATGCCCCAAAGAGGCTGTGACCCTGTGAGAAACCGGTGCTGGAGGAGGCTCCTGGTAGGAGGACCTGTGGACCCATGGAGAAAGGAGCCAGTGCTGTAAGCAGTTTTGCTGACTGGACTTGTGACTCCATGGGGAGCCCGCACTGGAGCAGCCTGTTCCAGAAGAACTGCACCCCATGAAAGGGACCCATGCTGAAATATTCATTAAGAATTGCAGACTGTGGGAAGGGTTCACATGGGAGAAGTTCTTGGAGAACTGTCTCCCGTGGGAGGGATGCAATGCTCCTGGAGAGCCTTCCCGTTTGAGGTGGGCATTCAGTCAGTAATTAGGATCTAGAAGAAACAAGCACTTCTGTGAAACAACTGGCTTGACCCAAAGCTACAG